GAAGGGCTTGTGGAAACCCAGAAGCCTGGCTGGCTGTCTTGGGAATTTTTCAGTTGACACCAAGGAAAATTCTGAGATGAGTTCAGGTCCTGCCACTTAAGCAGCTAACGGACTTGTAGGATCTCTTAATCTCCCTTTTCCTCATAGGGATAATAATATTTCAGAGAATTGTTGCAATGACTAATGCTGTGACATAACATTGGTAAACCAGGCAATGTTGAACAAATGTAAATCATGAGCCGGGCAGGCTTTGTGGGTGCGATCTGTACTTGGAAGGGTCCCATGCTTGATTTCATGCTCTGAAGCTGCCATATTGAAATTCTTAATTTGTGAACTAGGAAGCTTGCATTTGCACTTTCCACTGGTTCTCACAGATAACGTAGCCAGTGTTGGTTCCGAACCTTATTTCATGGCCATACCATAGGAGGTCACAAGGGATGTATCCTACCCAAGGTTTTGTAAAATCTCTAAATCCAGTGGAGGTCAAATCCTCAGAGACACGGACTGTCCTGCCATGCCTTTGTTACTCATGTTGTTGTGAAACCTGCAAGCTGACCTTTTTGTTCAACCCTAAGACCTTGTATAGTTTTTAGTTAGCAAACAGCAATATCTCCTCACTAATGAGTTTGTTCTGAACTCCCACCGGAAACCTTATTTAACAAATTTTTGCCAAGTCTCTTTGAGTGGGAAAGGAAATCCTTCACTAGAGAAACATCTCATTTATAAATAAACACACCCCAGTAACTCTAGATGTCTCCCCATATCATCGTACAGATGCATCAGCTAGATGTTAAAATTCAGATTTTGGGGGGTTTCCTACCTTGTCAGTCAGGAGCTGCTTTCCTGTGCTCCTTGTTTTTTCATCACTGACATTTCAGAATCTCCACTCTTAATGTTCTCAAATAATTTGCTATAGTCCTGTAAGACATTTCAGAGTCTTTTGCAATTTAAAAACATTTTTTTAAAGATTTTATTGTTAAGGGGCACCTGGGTGGCTCAGTTGTTAGGCATCTGCCTTTGGCTCAGGTCATGATCCAGGGTCTTAGGATGGAGCCCCGTGTTGGGCTCCCTGCTCAGCAGGGAGCCTGCTTCTCCCTCTCCGACTCCCCGTGCTTGTGTTCCCTCTCTCACGGTGTCTCTCTCTGTTAAATAAATAAATAAAATCTTAAAAAAAAAAAACCTGTGAAACTGAAAAAAAATTTTATTTTTAAGCAATCTCTCCACCCAATGTAGGGCTTGAACTCACAACCCTAAGATCAAGAATCACATGATCTTCCAAGAAAGCCAACCAGGTGCCCCTGAGACTCTTCTGGAATAGATGGGGAACAACAAAGCACGGGGAATGCTTTTAACCATTCTGGCCATTGTTTCGATAAGATTTCAGATTCTCACCCGGTCCACCTTATGACTAGTCATTGCTTCTCAGGTGAGGTAAGCCCTCTTATCTCCACTGCTGGACCCTTTGGTGCTAGTAAATGACAAACCTTGGAGATTGAAGGTGAACATGACATACAAAGTCCCTACTTTCTAGGAGCTTCCATCTGGGGAGAGGAGATAAACAATAAGCAAGCAAGCAAAAAACAAACAAAAACAGATCATCTCACATTGTGGTAAGTGCTCTAGAAGAAAAAAATACAGAGGGACGAGATCGATGGGGCAGACAAGAAGGTTTCTTTGTGATGGGGCCAAAGGGGAGGAAGAAATTTTTCTCCAATCTCTTAGGCTCAGTTATTGGGACCTGTTAATTAAACCAATAAAAGAGACAGCGTAACAGGAGAAAAGGTACAATTTTATCTTACCTGCATGGAATTCATAGAAAAGAAGCAAAACTCAAAAGAACAACTAGACGTAGGGGCTTATATACCATTTAACAAAGAGTGGCAAATTGAGGAGAAGTGGCTAGACCAAGGAAAGGGGATTTGGGCTCCTAGGGGTGATAAACCATGGGGAAGTGACTAGGAAATACATGGGGGAACTAATGGAGGATAAGGTATTTAAGAAAGTTCTGCTTATGCAGACTCCTCCCAGCATCAACTCTGTCCACAACAATGGGTTGCTCTCTCTTCCTGGTGCAGAGAAGGCACTTTACTCTTGGGAAATATATGCTCTACTTTTAGGCAGATAAGCAGAGAGCAGCGATCTCTTCTTGCATTTTTTTGGTTTCTCAGTTGCCTTTGGCTCAAGATAGTCCAAATGGCAAATTTTGGGGTGGCCGAGTCTGATCCCCTTTGGGGTCAGACTGGCTTCTCTTCCTGAGCTGTGAGGTCGTTTCGCTCAGTCACAGGGCACAGCCACCTCTTAGCTCCTGTTAAACATCTTTCTCAGCCCTGCTGTGAATGCTGGAGGCATTCTGGGGCTCACCTGCTGGAAGTCCTGAGAGCCCTGTGATAATTCAGCCCAGAGGACAAAAGAGGCTGAAGCTGGCCAGTGCCTATTATTGTAGTAAAATACACACTACATAAAACTTACCATTTTAACCATTTTTAAGTGTACGACTCTGTGGCTTTAAGTGCATTTGCCCTGTTGTGCAACCACCACCACCATCCAGAACACTTTTCACCTTCTCAAACTGAACCTCTGCCCCCGTTGAACAGTAACAGAAAGAAAGGACTCAACAGAGTTTCTATGGCAACTTAATGTCAGCAACCTACATTCTTAGCAACCTACTTTCTTGCGACTGGTTTTCAGAAACGGCTTTTTTTTTAATTTGATGGAGAGCGAGACCACTAGCAGGGGAAGCAGTAGAGGGGGAGGAAGAAACAGAATGCCCACTGAGCAGGGACCCCGATTCGGGGCTCGATCCCAGGACCCTGGGATCATCATGACCTGAGCCAAAGGCAGAGGCTTAACCCACTGAGCCACCCAGGCACCCCTATTTTTCTTTATCCATTCATCAAATAATTACCGAGCACCTAACTAGGTTGGGGACTGTGCCAGGCTTTGGGGCATGTCATGCGGGCAAGACAGGAATGGTGCCAGTCTGACGCTTGGTAACCAAGCAATGCCGTGGGTGTTCGTGAAAGAAACTTCCCACTGAGGACACCAGCGAAAGTATGCTGCTGGGTGGGGGGGGTTGGGGGATATATTTGGGGACAAACTGAAGATGACGATCTTGATGATATTACCCAGGGAAGATCTAAAGATCATGAACTGTCTACTTTGAAGCCACCGACTATTTCTGATTGCAGCAGGGGACTGGCTTTTGGCTTTTAAAAAATGTGAATGCAGCCTTAAAACATAAGGAAATCCTGTCACACACCACCACATAGATGATCCTTGAGGTTCTTATGCTAAGTGAAATAAGCCCATCACAAAAGACAAATACTGCAAGAGTTCACTTTTAAGAGGTGTCTAAAGTTGTCTAACTCCCAGAGACGGAAAGTAGAATGGTGGCTCCAAGGGGATTTGGGGGGGGGGCGGGCTCTTGTTCAATGGGCATAAGGTTCAGTTTTGCAAGATGAGGAAGTTCTGGAGATCTCTTACACAATCATGTGCATCTAGATAACACTACTGCATGTATATTAAAATGGTTAAGATGGTAAATTTTATGTTGCATGCTTTTTTAACCACAATTAAAAAAAAAAAAAGTCTAGCACAGTACTGGCTACCCAAGGATTCAACAAATATCTGCTGAAAGCCCCAAACAAACAAAAAGCAGAAAACCTTGAGGTCTTAAATCCTGGCCTCGTGTTTTTCTTACACATTTTAGATAATGGGGTTTGGGAATGGTTGGTTGCTTGCCTCCTTTTTGTCTTTTTAGTGTGTGAGATTTAAGATATCGCTGGGAAAATCCGACTCAAGACTTTTTTGGACAGTCGTCCGACCAGCGCCACCCCTTTGATGGACAAGTCTATGGGTCCATCTGACACTGACTTTGAGTCTGTCGACTCTGGACCAAGGTCGGCCTCTCACGTCCATGACTTCAGAGGGTAACAGCAGGCCTGCTTCAAACAGCAGCCACTAACACCCGGGGGTCCTTTTACGGAAGGTCCCCATTTGTGTTCACCTCATTTTGGCCACTGTCTCCTCTTAACCAGCTTTTTGGTTTCTTCTCCACACTGCCAGCAGGTTCATTTGAAGAACTGAAACTTTAGTTAAGGTTTGTTGAGGTTTGTTTTTAAAAATTGGCTGTTCCCACCCACATTCCCTTGTGATATAAATAGAACAAAAAAGAGGTTTAATTAGCAAGGCAAGACATTCGAGCTATGGTCTACTTGATCCTTGAAAAGGAAATCTAAGAGGTTCTTACTATCACTTTTTCAATCCTATATAAGGTAGGTCAGTAAGGTAGCAAAAGCACATCTGTTTTGTGCTCCTTCAGCTCTTTTTCCTGATTCTTCTTGGGGAAAAATCTGAAAAGGTAAGTAGCTGGTGGACCTACAAGACCCCAGACTCTTCTTTCCTGCTTTCCTGCTTTCCTTCTTTCCTACTTCTTTCCTATGGATTCATATGAGGTTGGTGCATGCTGTGCTCAGATTTTCCTTTCCTTATGGACTTGACACATGAAAGGAGTCTCTTTGATCTCTGGTAGATGGGCTTTCCATGTCTCTGATTCCCACCCTTCAGAATAGAGAGCATCTTTTCCACAGAAGGTATCCAAGTAGTCCAAGCTATATCCTCTCCACATGGAATTGGAAACATTGCATTTCCAGTGTATGAACATAGTTTTGTAGATGACTATGTAAGTGATCCATTGTGCAAATATCCTTTTTATATAAAAAAAATGGGATCAAGTCATCCTCTAAGCTGTGGTTTTAAAATTTGTCTTTGAAGAACATTCAGGAGAAGGCAGAGACACAAAGGGGGCTGGAATCTTTTCAGTTTATGGCTTGTATGTGGCTCTTCTGTCCCTTCATTTAATACAACATCACGCTTATCGCATTTAAAAATTCCCCACAAACACAGTTTCCGTGGGCCCAGGCGCACATAGCACCCCTGGGCGTGCATTTTCCTGCTTGTCATTGACCACATCTCGTTTATTCTGTGTGACTAGGTGGAAAATGAGCATCACAGATGTCCTTAGCGCTGATGACATCGCAGCAGCCCTGCAGGAGTGCCAAGGTAAAGGGCAGTGGGGGCAGGGGTGACTATTTCTTAGCTGTTCACACCTCCAGCAAAGCCTCAAGGATTAAAATATGGACTTTGCTGAAAATCCGTGGGATCAGAGAGTAAAATTGTTGTCAATGAAATAACTAGTTACAGAGCCTATGATTCCATTGCTGTAAAGTGAAAGAAACGAAATGTGAAAAAAGAAACATGTGGGCACCTTGTAGCCTGTTTGAATGCAATGACCTCATTTCACCCAGCTGATGAGACCAGCCCTGCTGGAGTCTTGGACACACAGGCTGTAAAAAGGGAAGCGGGGGAGGCACAGAGGAGGGAGGGGTAGACAAAAGCAAACGGACAGGGAAGGAGGGAGACAGGAGATGCTATCACAAAACCACCCCGTCTTGGCTGCCTCATAGTCTTGCCCTAGTCACAGCCCTCTTTGTCTGTCTGTCTGTCTTTATTTATTTTTGAGAGAGAGTGAGAGAGCGGGGTGGGGGGGCAGGGCAGGGGCAGAGGGAGAGGGAGAGAAAGAATACTAAGCAGGTTCCATGCCCAGCAAAGAGCCTGATGCAAGGATCGATCTCATGACCCTGAGATCACAACCTGAGCTGAAATCAAGGGTCAGATGCTTAACCGACTGAGCCACCTAGACGCCCCGTTTTTTGTTGTTTTTTTTTTTTAAAGTGAGAACTGAGTATCCCTGTAGCTCGAGAATATCATGAGGAGGGGTTTTGATAAACCTATGTTTTCAGCACCTTGGCCCAAATATGGAATGTGACCCGATGAGTCTCAGAATAACCCTCTCTCTGTCCTTCAGACCCAGATACTTTCGAACCCCAAAAATTCTTCCAGACGTCAGGCCTCTCCAAGATGTCGGCCAGCCAGGTGAAGGATGTTTTTCGGTTCATAGACAATGACCAGAGTGGATATCTGGATGAAGAAGAGCTTAAGTGAGTTTTGTCCTGAGCCTGTGTGCTGCCCTTGACATTGCTAGGTGGGTTGGGAGCCGTGGAGGCCCGTTTGGTCAGTATTTCTTCAATGGTCAGTGTTGATGCTGGTTGTTCCACAGAGCCTCACGCAAGGGAAGACCGTGGGTCAGTGGGCCACGCTTCTATACTTGTGAAGCACTAAACATGGGCACTGGAGACAGTAGGTGCAGGAGTATATTCATTGTAGGTTTTTTCTTTGGCAAATGGACTTATCAACATAACTCTGAAAAAAATCTTTAATTTTTAAAAATTTATCTATTTTATTCATATGAGAGAGAGACAGCATGAGCAGAGGAAGGATCAGAGGGAGAGGGAGAAGCAGACTCCCTACAGAGCCAGGACCCCAACACGGGACTCGATCCCAGGACCCCAGGATCATGACCTGAGCCAAAGGCAGTCACTTAACCGATAGAGCTACCCACATGTCCCCCTGAAAAACAAAACAAAACAAAACAAAACAAAACACTGTTAAAAACAGAATTCCCACCAGTAGTTTCTACAAGGAAGCCAAGTTTGGTTTGTGTAGACCTTTGACGGAATATCACAATGGTGGTTTGCTTCAAGAGGAAATGGGGAAGCGCAGGGACACGTGGTCTTTCAGAAAATTCCCATCAATCTTGATTGTCCTGCAGGTTTTTTCTCCAGAAGTTCGAGAGTGGTGCTAGAGAGCTGACAGAGTCAGAAACCAAGTCCTTGATGGCGGCTGCAGATAATGACGGAGATGGGAAAATTGGGGCCGATGGTATGTTCACACCTGTACCCAGTACAAAAGAATTTAGCTCTAGAAGCAATCTGGGAGACTTGGGTCGTGAGATCAGACAGACACGGTTAGTAAAAATCCCCCATTCTTAACCTTGCTGAGCTTCAACCTTCTCATCTGTAAAATGGGCCTACTGTGTGATACCAATGATGTATATAGAGACTAGTGTGATGCCTGGGAAGGAACCATTGAACCTGGTCCTGTGAGTTACTGTCTATGACCCGGAAAATACCCTTCACCCAGCCGGGGGACTAGCTATGGCCTGGCTAATGATTTGCAAGACACCCAGTGCATCATGGCAATGACGTAAGGAATTTCTACCCCTGGGATTTGAGCTCTTCTGAATAAGGGAAGGATTGACATTCTCAAGTGTGTCTCATATCAAAATGTCTATTGACTTGAGTAGGAAAGCCTCTTAGCTTTCAAGGGTTTAAACAAACACATTTTATTGGACATTAGCCCACCAAGTGGACAATATGAGAGAGTAGATCAAACACGAGGTATGGAGTCTTTTGTGTGCAGAGCCCTATATTCAAATTTTAGTATAGCTGCATGGCTGCAGAATTATTTTCTTCCTATTCAATTATGTTGCTTACATGCTTTTTAGCTACACCGTGCACGCCTGCTCAGGAGAATTTATGCATGCTCTTTATGGTGATACTAACTCGATATTAAAAACTCCTATTAAATCCTCCCTTGAAAAACCTATCCAAAATTATACCACTATAACTTACTACACAGGCGTTCATGTAGCTTCTATTTATAGCTCAGAAAAATAGCTGAGATAAGGGAAGATTGATTTATTTAAATCTAGCCACCAGAAAAAAAAAATTCCAGGTAGGCAAAGTATACCAATAAATATAAAGCAAAACCCCAGTTTTCAATTTCAATCAGTCACATCCGCTCATTTTTATCCTTACCCCTATCACCATCGCCTTTTAGTAACATAAACTCTTGGGGGTAAGGTGAGAGTTCAAGAAAAGTGAGTTCCAAAGCCCACCCTATGAATTGTTTCCTACATCTGTACAATGTAACTTCTGAAAAGAGGAAGAAACCCCCTTCCGCTGTCTTAAAGTAGCCAGAGAGCTGAGTGATCCCAGATTGCGACAGGGTATTTTACCAAGTCTGTGCACTGTCAGAGAGAAATACCTGGGCTCCCAGGTTCTAATACAAGGGGCTCTATTGCAAAGCAGAAGATGTTTGTTAGATTACGCAGGAAGATGGGACGTTATAGACCAGCTCCATCCGCAGCCAGTGACACAATTTCCCCCCTCCTTTTGTGCCCTTAGAGGGGCCAAGCCCATCATCTGACAATCTGCTTCCTTTCCTCTTCAAAACTCCCACCAGCCGCCACGACATGTTGGTAAAAATATCCAGTCATTTCCACTGATGCTTTCTCGCCTCTTCTGTTCTAGAATTCCAGGAAATGGTACATTCTTAAAAGCTCCAGGCTATGGAGATAGAGACAATCAGCCGGAAGACCTCCAAAGCCCTAGGAATGGGAAACCCCACTTCCTCCCCCTAGTTTATTTATTCATTACCCCCCCCCAGCCCCCACAGAAGTGCTTCTGCAATTGACTTCCTGTTTTAGCAAGGTAATAAGACAGTCATTTGTGAATTTTCGGTGGTCGGTGGTTGGTATACCTGATGACTCCTGCAAGGCCCTCGGCAGACAATGCCTTTAAAATTCAACCAATAAAGATGCGTTTCTCATCATCTACTGATGTGTGGGTGTGTTGTTTTCATCGTGGTGTCTTCATAGCAAGGTGCAGGGATGAAAGCACTTTGGGGGCTGAGGGCTTTGAGAAAGACTCCTGGTCCTCTCGAGCACTAAGCCAGCCATATTGGAGTATGCCAGCAAACAGAGAAAACAGGGTGGGAGGAGAAAATAGTCAAAAGCAAATGGTACCGTCAGGCTGGGATTTTCTCAGGCAGTTCTCGGAGTCCGAAAGTAACATGAAGAGATTTATAAAGAGCATAAAAGCACCTTTGCTTATGCATTAGATGGCCAGAAGAGAGATTTAAAAGCCAACAGTACAGAAAAAAAATGGGAGGCAGTAATGGCTCCAAAACTAAGGAGACTCACTCTACCAGATGGGCACAGACCCATTTTCAAGCTTGTTTTTGGTTTTTTTTGGGGGGGGGGGTTGCCTTTTTTTGTTATTTTTTTTTCCTTAGAAAAACAAGCCATCTGAGACTGCCTGCTCTGACCCTACCTCCTGCCACCACCCCCTTCTCTTTCTCAGTCTTCACTTTCCTGGCTCTCCTTGAAATACCACCTGAGCCAATTATACCAGGAATTGCCTTCACTTTAGAGGTGAGCCTCCGGGTCCTGTTACAGAGTTTTCGTGAGGGTGGGGCCCCGTCAAGCCAGGAAACTCTCGAGATGCTGATGTCCAGGTGGCAGGTTCAAGGTGTTATTTCTGGCTGACCCCGAGAGTTGAGGACTCCGGGGAGGAACTGAGGCATTTTCCTGGGACCCCGCTGAACGGCTCACCCTTTTCACTGCACACGCAGGTTCCTGAGGCCTGGGGCTCTCCTGGATTGCCTCCTTCACACTTGAAGTAGCTCAGGGATTTTTGAACCCCAGCTATTTATGGGGCCATGTTAAGGCAGCTTCTCGAAATGTGGGGTGTATACAACAAGGGGGCCTCCAGGATTCAACGTTTTTATTTTAATAACCACGTATTTATCTAATATGCATTCAGAAGAAACTCAACTAACACAACCATGGAATTTCAATATCGTCGTGTTAGAATGAGGCTAAGGGGAATATGAGAGATTTCAAACCAGTTATCTTCATCTGGAAGGATGACAGGACAGTGAGATAAGACTGAGGGCTTTGAAGAAACACAGCACAGGAACTCGGGACATGAAAAACAGATATAGAATTTACCCGATTTTTGTCACTAAGCCAAAGTAACAATTTTGATTTAAAAAAAAACTTTCATGCCCAAGATGTATCCCACACTCAAATGAATGAAAGCCCTACATACTATTCCGTTCTGGAAATTCTTACTCATTTCTATGGACTCATTTATGTTTTTAACATACTGAGGAAAAATTTTAAATAGAACATATCCAGAGTCGAATCAAAAGTGGAAAAAAATCCTGAAGTTGTAACAGTTGGGAAAAGGGATTGACAAGCATGTAAACAATTTTACTTTTGTGCTTGAGTTTTCGATTTTTAACTAATTTGCCAAAGACCATCAACCTACTTCAAGAAGGGGATGTTCTCGGCAGTGGGATGATGTATTTTTGGCTTTGACATGACGACGTAGAGTGCGTGACAGGTTACAGAAGTTTGTTTTTCCTACTTGCTTATAAAATAGGGCTGTGACAGTGGCTTTAATTTGAGCTATTTTTACTTAATTGTGATTTTGACTTACAGTTCAGTAGTTTATAATTTAATGGAATGTGATCTGAAAGCTGGTTTCTTGAATGTGCTTCATTGTTGAGACTAATACGAAGAATGACTAAAGTACTTCCAACATTATTAGGTATTTTGGTTCAGCATCTGTACATTACGAAATATTGAAGTTAGCTTTTTCAATCTATAGGTTTCCACCGAAGTTTTTCCCAGCTCAGAAACAAAGTGTAGAAAAACACCGAAGATACGGAGCTCTGTCCATTCATTCAGGTTGACAAACGGCATAATTAATTCTGTGGGACAATGCAGTTTAATTTTGTGTAATGAGTACTCAGGAATCCAGTTTCAAGCAAAAACCTATCTTCTATCTCTCCTGCTAATGTGAAGGGATGGTATTACTTTGCAAACACTTAAGACGACAGATGAAATTGGAATCACGAGGCTCATTTCCACCTGGCCTGTTAACTTATTCACTGGAAAGACTACTCATTTACGTGAGCTTTTAACTGGTTTCAAAAAGTCAACGTTTTCAGGTAAGGAGTAGATTTTGAAATTGTTTTCCTAGGAGTTCTACAATGAAGGTAAACGGATTCACATCCTCGAGTTATTTTTGACTGATAAAATATATTTCAAGAACATAAAACACCTGCATCCTTACCCCCTCACTTTAACACATCTCGACCCTTCTTGTGTGGTAGCTTTGTAATATATCAACTGGCTTGGGGCTGTAGGTCCCCAGTCTTTTTTTTTTTTTTTTTTAAGATTTTATTTATTTGACAGAGAGAGAGACACAGTAAGAGAGGGAACACAAGCAGGGGGAGTGGGAGAGAGAGAAGCAGGCTTCCTGCTGAGCAGGGAGCCTGATGTGGGGCTCGATCCCAGGACTCTGGGATCATGACTTGAGCCCCCTTGGGATTGTGACCTGAGCTCCCTTGGGATCATGACCTGAGCTGAAGGCAGATGCTTAATAACTGAGCCACCCAGGAACCCCTAAATGCCCCCAGTCTTAGATGGGTCTGAGATTTGGGGGGTGGGAGTAAGAGTGAAGTAATAGTCATTGTATTTATGCTCCGGAACTCAGCACGGGGTGGTCACGTATCTGCTGGATCCCCGCCTTGGTGTGGGGTCCTCCTTCAGCCCCCAGCTCCAGGTGTGTCTTTCCTGCTCTGACAAAGTACACCAGCTTATCCTGAAGGAGTCCCCGTCATCAGGGCTGGAGGCTGGGAGAGACTCACGTACGTTCCAGTCTGTCCTCAGTCTCCCCCTTCTTCCTGTCTCTCTTCCCTTCCTGACTGCAGACCAAATTCAGCATGGAGGAAGGCAGCAGCCTCACAGAGACTGCTTAAGTCTCTCACTAGCACCTAATACCTGTAGAAGGCACAGATACATACGGGTATCTCCTGCTTTTCAAAAGTTCAAGTTACGTCACTTCACTTTTACAAAAAAAACCTACATTAGTGGGGCGCCTGGGTGGCTCAGTGGGTTAAAACCTCTGCCTTCAGCTCAGGTCATGATCCCAGAGCCCCGCATTGGACTCTCTGCTCAGCAGGGAGCCTGCTCCCCGCCCCCCCCCCCGCCTGCCTCTCTGCCCACTTGTGATCTCTGTCAAATAAATATATAAAACCTTAAAACAAAAACAAAAACAAACCCCTACATTAGTACCTATTCACGAATCAAAGTCGATTTCACTTTCACAGAAAGGAGGCGGGGACGGAAAGAGCATTCAGTGCTGGTTTTTTGGGAGAGCGGTGACAGAGACAGGATGGATCTTGTTTATAACTGAAAGGTTGTACCCTTTTACCAGCCTCTCCCTATTTTCCCCACCCCTTAACCCCTGGCAACCACCATTTGACTCTGTTTCTATGAGGGTTGGTTTTGTTTTCTAAGATTCCATATATAAGTGATACCACGAACTATTTGTCTGGTTTATTTCACTTAGCGTAATGCCTGGCCAGTTCCTCCAATGTTGTCCTGAATGGCAGGATTTCTTTTTCTCTCATGGTTGAATAATACTGTCCTACACATATAAACACATTTTGTTTATTCATTCCCCCATCCATAGACACTCAGGTTGTTTCCATACCTTGTCTATTGAGAATAATGCTACAGTGAAGATGGAGGGCGGATAGAAATTCTAGATAATGATTTCGTTTCCCTTGGATACATTGCCAGAAGTGGGATTGCTGGGTCATATGGCAGTTCTATTTTTAATTTTTCTGAGTACCCTCCACACTGTTTTCCATAGTGGCTGCCCCAATTTACATTTCTACCATCAGTGCACGAGGGTTCCCTCTTCTCCATGTTCTGGCCAGCACTTTCCTTTCATCTTTTCGGAAAACTGACCTTACAGATATAAGGTGATACCTCATTGTGGTTTTGATTTGCATTTCCCTGATGATGATTGATGTCTAGTGTCTTTTTATGTACCCATTGACCTTTTTCTTTGGACAAATGTCTGTTAGGCTCCTTTGCCCATTTTTAATCGGGTTACTTGGGTTTTTTTCTTTTTTTAAAGATTTTATTTATTTGACAGAGAGAGAGATCACAAGCAGAGAGAGAGAGAGAGAGAGAGGAGGAAGCAGGCTCCCTGCCTAGTAGAGAGCCCGATGTGGGACTCGATCCCAGAACCCTGAGATCAGGACCTGAGCTGAAGGCAGAGGCTTAACCCACTGAGCCACCCAGGCAGCCCCACTTGGGTTTTTTTCTATTGAGTTGCATGAGTTCCTTGATTTTTTTTTTTTATCAGATGTGCAGTTTGCAAATATTTTCTACCATTCCATAGGTCAACTTTCCATTTCATTGATGGCCTTTGCGGCACAGAAGCTTTTTAGTTTGATTTACTCCCAATTGCTTATTTTTGCTTTTGTCACCTTTGCTTTTGGTGTCAAATCTAAAAAAAAAAATCATCGCTGAGGTCAATGTCAAGGAGCTGACCCAGGTTTTCTTCTAGGAGTTTTACTGTTACAGTTTTTATGTTCGAGTAAAGTTGTAGTTTTGTATTCAAGGATTTGATCCATATTGAGTTGATTTTTGTGTATGGAGTAAAATAGAGATCTCGTTTAATTATTTTG